TTTTCTCAAAGTCGGGAATTGATTGTGTAGAAACACATTCCCCGATTATATATGCAGTCACATCATGTACTTAATGAGCCTAACGGCATGTTAAAGTTTAAGAAGTACATGATAGATTAGTGACATCATATCTATTTGATCACTTAATGATATAAAGATATATCAACTCATATTGAGTAAAGAATGCATCTGATTTTGTTTCTGTCGATCATGAAACTCACGATTCAGATCCAAGGTATGATTGTCATTAGATTATATTATTATAGAAATTTGTGGTTGGTCTAGTTGGTTTTTGCAGAGTTGTTGTGGCTTAGACTCAGCACATACAAGCAGAAATCATAAGTCTCCAACAAAGAGCAAACAGAAGATCTGAAGACAATGCCACTTGTGTCGCACAAGTTAAAGAAGACTATATCAAGAGGCGACAACACATAAGATCTTTTTCTAAAGGAGTTTTCAACCACGACGTTCATGAAGCATATTCAAAGAACATGAATGCGTCATCTACAAGATCTATGAAGAAAAGAATACACTCTTTTTCCAGGGGGAGTTTGCATCACGGTACTCTTTTTCCTTCTCATGGTTTTTATCCCATTGGGTTTTTCCATGATAAGGTTTTAACGAGGCCGTAAGCAACTTCACAATGACTAATGATGGACACTCAAGGGGAGCGTTACCGTACTCTTTTTCCTCATCATGATTTTTGTCATGATTAGGTTTTTTAACGAGACGGTACACGACTCTTGACTCAGTAATGATTAATCAAGGGGGAGTGTTATAAAACAAATGAGAACTATGTGATTAATACATTACTTTCTCCTTAAGGATACATTCCCATCATGGACACTTGGCATAGGTGGTTGATCACCAAGTATATGCCACTAATCTTCTATGTATGCAAGTGTCAATGTTCTCAAGAGACATGTGTGATTCATCCTCCTAGTCATTTGATAACTTAGCCACCAAGTCTTTGTACCACTATATATACATGAAATTCATCACTTGTAAAGAAAGAGAAGTGTGGATAAGAAGAGATGTGTAGAGAGAGAGTTGTTGTAATTGTATGAGAGAAACCATGAATGAAACTCTTTCTATAAACTCTTGTTCATTCTTTCTTCTTAAGAATACACATCTTAAATACATAAACACATACATATTATTAGAGTATGGTTTATACCACAAGAGTATTTATTCACAACAGACATTGCATTTATCTCACGTTAATTTGCAGTTTGACTTTTATTGTTAAGTATTGCAAAACGTTTTTTTCTAACGTGTCGAAGACGTAGTTGTTGCATTGACTCGTATTGCATACGTTGACTGTTTAGTCTTACATTAAAGTAATATTTTCTGAATTAAATTGCTATTTATGCATTTAATTAAATTGTTAAATTCCTGAATTTATTTGGAGTTGAAATTTAATTATTTGTAGCAATTTTCAGAAGTAATTAAATTGCTTAATATATATTTGAATATATTTCTAATATTTCTGGTATGATTCAGGTTTTGATGTGTGCAAATTGAATAAAAAAAAAATGTTACCAAAAATTAGAACATTTACAAAAAATGTTTCTAAAGTGATAAATCAAATGAGTTGATATCCCATATTGGGAGTGGTCTACCATTTATGATTTTGACCCATACTATTAGTGGTTGAAGGGTTATTGGTAACAAGTTTAGTGAGTTGACATACCAAATTTATTTTGGTAATGGTCTTCCACTTGTGATTGTACCAAATTATGATGTTTATCAGATTATCAAATTAGTGCCTAATGTTGTAAACACAAGACTAATGTTAGACAAATTCTATGGAAAAGAGTTTAAAATTGGTTACAAAAGATATTGATCTTTCTAGCCATTATTTAAACTTAAAATATGAAAATGCAAAGTGGATGATTTTTTAGTTATCTCAAGAAATGTGGGGGGCAACATTGTTTACCACATAAAGTTATTGACAAGTTTAGGGCTTTTTGAAGTTTAGGGCTTCTCAAGTTTAAACAACAATAATATTACGTTCCACAAGTTTAGGCCTTTTGAAGTTTCAACAAATCACTGATGGACATTCATCAATGGTGGATAACCGCAACTCTTCTTACAACGTGCATTGTACCACAACCAACATCAACATATGACTCGTCGGTCTACTCCATTGGTCCATGTAAAACATCAAACATAAATAGTTATCATCATTTGTGAATTCAATGAATCTAAATTATTTATAGAGATTGAGAGTATTTGGTTACTTGTGACGGAAGGAGGGCAGCCGCAAGTTTTCTTACCACGGGCATGGCATGCATTGTCAGTGACAACCAACATCGCAATTCCGGTAACATATGACTCGTTGGTCATTGGTCCTTGTTAAACATCTTGAAAATAACAATGTTACATGTAAGTCAAGGTAAACATACTCCGAGTAGAGAAAAACATATCAAATCAAAATCTAATACAGAGACAGAAAAACAGAAGATAAAAGCAACACATCTATAAACATATCCCCAGTAGCTTGGAAGAAGAAGAAGATGATGAACAAGAAAAAGAAGAAAGAAACGACAATGTTTTCGGTGAATTAAAAGAAAGGGACAAATATAAAATTAGGGTTTTTCATTTTTTTAATCGATGTTTCTTTTTTTGTAAAATATACTCCCTCTGTCCCATATTATAAGCAGTTTGGGAAAATGTATCTACAAAAAGTGTATGTATCTGGATGCAATTACAATGGCAGTTTTGTAAATAAATCAACATATCAATGGTTCACATCTTTTCTTGAAATTCTGAATTCTTTGCTCTCAAAACGTTATCTGCACATCTTTCTAAGATTGTGTGAGAAAAATTGAGAACAGAAAAAAATCCAAAGAAAAAAAAGAATATATAGTTAAGACTTCCCTTTAGCCTTTAAAAAGTTAAAAAGAAGGTTTGATATGGAGAAAGCCGTGTGTAACTATGACTTTTTCATGATGGCTCCAAATATCTAGAACCCTAAAATGAAGTCACTAAGTCGATCTTTTTAGTTTTAAATTCCTCTTCCACCAACATGATAATCTCTCATCCAATCCCTCAGCCTTTTTCTTGTAATCCAAGTTCACGACCTTAACAACATCTCGAGAGTAGACAAATAACTCATCTTTCAACAAGTGAGAAGGATGCTAAGATTATCTGACAAAGACGAACTTTACCTGGCCGAGTTTCAAAACCTCCATGAAGACGCAAAGAAGAGTAATTTTGGTCGAATCTTCCGTTCTCCGTCTATCTTTGAAGATATGATAAAATCTATTTTGTTGTGTAACATCACTTAAGATAAGTCACTAGGTATAACTTCTCGACTCTGCGAATTGCAATTAAAATTAGCCGACAGTACATTTTATGCCAAAGAAATAGCCCCAAAAAACTAGGAAAGAAACAATTGGAAATTTACTCCGCATTAAGGGAGTTTCTAATTGTTTCTTTCCTAGTTTTTTGGGGCTATTTCATTGGCACTAACCGTACTGTCAGCTAACTTTGATTGCAACTCGCAGAGCCGATAATTTATACCTTGTGACTTATCCTAAGTGATGTTACACAAGAAAATAGATTTTATCATATTTTCAAAGAGAGACAGAGAACGAAAGATTTGACCGAAATTACTCTTCTTTGCGCCTTCATGGAGTTTTTGAAACTCGGCCAGGTAAAGTTCGTCTTTGTCAGATAATCTTAGCATCCTTCTCACTTGTTGAAAGATGAGTTCTTCGTTGACTCTCGAGATGTTGTTAATGTAGTGAACTTGGATTAAAAGAAAAGTCTGAAGGACTGGATGAGAGATGATCACATTGGTGGAAGAGGAATTTGAAAACCTTAAAGGTCGATTTAGTGACTTCATTCTAGGTTCTATACGTTCGGAGCCATCATGAAAAAACTATGGTTACACTCGGATTTCTCCATATTGAACCACCCTTCTAACTCTTTAAGGGGAAGTCTTAACTACATCTCTCTTTTTTTTCTTTAGATTTTTCTTTTCTCAATTTTTCTCACACAATCGTGGAAAAGTGGGCATATACCTTTTTGAAAGCAAAGAGCTCATGATTTCGGAGATAAGGAGAAAAAAATGTGAAACCCTTGCTATGTTTATTTATTTACAAAACTGCCACTATAATTAGTATTTTTTACAAAAAAAAAAAAGAAAATCGATTAATAAAAAACGAAAAAAAGTTTAATCTTATATTTGTCTCTTTCTTTTACTTCACCAAAAACATTATCGTTTCTCTTTCTTTTTCTTTTTCTTCCAAACTACTCAAGAGGTATGTTTATAGAAACGTTGCATTTATCTTCTGCTTTTCAGTCTGTATATTAGCTTTTGATTTGACATGTTTTTACCTACTCAGGGTATGTTAACCTTGACTCACATGTTAAATTGTTATTTTTAAGATACTTTAAAATGATTACGTATAAAATCAGGATTTAAGCATGTTCCCTAAACACGTTTCTCACTAAAATGTCTAACATATATATCCATATATATAAATACTTATATATATATATATATATATATATATTATCATCACACAACACATTTAATTATAATACACAGACATTCAAACAACGACCTTATTAAGGTTCAACAAATTCATTTAAATACAATATCCAATTAGTCCATATTTGATTATATGTTCTTCAACATTTAACATTCAAGAGATCACTTATCATCAATAAGTTATTCCACAAATATTTAAATAATCCTATATAATTACTAATACACTAATTTTTAATATTTATTAATATCAAGAAATGAATTATATATATTCATAAATAATATCACACATCATTCATCATAAATAAATCAATCTAAATTCATCTAATAAATATGGTTAATTAAATAAATAATTATATAACAAAAAAATAATACTAAGATAAAACGTATAAGAGTAATAGTGAAGGTTGATCCTTACCTTTGCCTAAAATAATGATCGGAATGGAAACGGATTAAATGGATCAGCAATAGGTTGCAACAGAGTGGAGAAGATGAAAGGTCATTGTGACTTGAAGTCAAAATGAGAAGACGAAGACTTTGACACCAAGTTGACGAAGAGGAAATGGGACAATGATGACATCATGGTTATGATTGGTCCGACAAGTACGTCTTGTTGACCGAGTAAAACGTCTTGTTGATCAAGGCACATCCCTGGTTTACTTACGCTGCAAGTTATGATGATTTGTCTCGGCTTTCTCCTTTGGTGGACATGACGGCGATGGTAGTAGCTTCCGATGGTAGTGACGATGCCTATGTCGAGCGACAATGATTGTGGATGCCGTCGGCTCCACCGCGTCTCTACGGAAGACGCACTATCTCTTTCCCTCCTCTCCTTCTTTCCTTCTATCTCACACGACAACTCTCTCTCTTCCTCCTTCTTTCCTTCTCTCTCTCTCCTCTCTGGTTTTCCTTCTATCGATATCTCTCTCTCTTTATTTTTTTCTTGTGCGTGGAGGAGATGCTTACACAAAACGCACATACGGGCTCGATCAACAATGGTAATAAGTAGCCTAGTAATAATAATTGTGGCCTTAATGGGCTTTGACACAAATTTTAAAATTGGGCCCATGGATGTTACACTTTAGGTTCAGTTGGCAATGTAAAAACATAGGTTTTATTATTCTTAGATTGGACGATCGATTATTTGACCAGAGCATATATCCTAGTGATTATGTATTGTTGATGCGTTACTATTCGGATTCAAATCCGAAGGCATTTGTTGACATTAAAAAGATTATGAGCTTACATTTGATACATTAAAATTTCCTATTCGTCTAAGAATGTTGAATCATCATGCTTGTTCAGAAAAAAAAAAAAAAAAAAAAAAAAAAAAAAAAAAAAAATCATGCTTGTTCAGATCGTACATACTCTGGATGCATTTTAATAATGTGTAGAAAAAAAAAATCCATATTGTATACACATAACTAAACGATGTATGGATTATTTTCATTCTTATTAACTCTCATTTATGAAAATATACTTTTCGAAATCATGAAGTTCGAGAAAACTATTTCTTGATATTAGATTTTAGTATATTTATAACTTTATATAGAATCTTTTCATGTCTATTACATCACCACATGTAAAAACTCGAAAAATAAACAGCAATAATATAACGTTCCACAAGTTTAGTGCTCTTGAAGTCTCAACAAATCACTGATGGACATTCATCAATGGTGGATAACCGCAACTTTTCTTACAACGTGCATGGCATGCATTGTCAGTACCACAACCAACATCGCAATTACGGTAACATATGACTCGTTGGCCTACTCCATTGGTCCCTGTAAAACATCAAATATAAATCTTTATCATCATTTGTGAATTCAGTGAATCTAAATTATTTATAGAGATTGAGAGTTATTTTGGTTACTTGTGACGGCAGGTGGGTAGCCGCAACTTTTCTTACAACGTGCATGGCACGCATTGTCAGTACCACAACCAACATCGCAGTTCCGGTAACATATGACTCGTTGGTCTACTCCATCGGTCCCTGTAAAACATCGAAGATAAATCGTTATCATCATTTGTGAATTCAATGAATCTAAATTATTATAGAGATTGAGAGTATTCGGTTACCTGTGACCGAAGGTGGGTAGCCGCAACTTTTCTTGCAACGTGCATGGCACGCATTGTCAGTGCCACAACCAACATCGCAATTCCGGTAACATATGACTCGTTGGTCTACTCCATTGGCCTCTGTAAAACATCAAAACATTATCATCATTTGTGAATACAATGAAACTTTTACTATTTTCACTTTGATTGTACCATAATAGTCACTGCAAAATCACATGGTAAATATAGATTTTGAAACCATGAGATCTGACTATATATAAAGAAATTGGTTAGAGAGATTAAGAGTTTTTGGTTACTTGTGTCGGAAGGAGACTCAGTCACAGTCTCTGCCCTCACGCCCATTACTACCAAAGCCATTATCATGGTTATCTTGATCATACTCGACATCTTTTTTTGTTTTGTTTTTTGTGTGTTGAGGTTTATAAACTTTTGCTTCAACACAATCTTATTTATATAAAGTTGAAGATGTATCATGATAGTTTGGATTGTCCACAGGTCAAAATGCAGTTTTAGAATATCATTTTCGGTTGACCAACAAAAAAAAAAGTTGACCGAAAAAAAACATTTCCATATATTTAATACTTTATCTAAGACTACAATCCAAAAGTAATAGAGATGGTTAGATGATTCACCTAAAATATATATATTCCTCTTTTACAATTATAATTTAAGTAAAGTATATCTAGAAATAGTTAATATTAATCACAAAAGGAAAATGTAGATTTTTTTATTATATAATACCACAATAAGAGGATTGAAGAGAAGGTGATACTAATAGTTATGTACAAATTATAATGTAAATAAAAATATTTGAAAATATGGACTTTGAAATAGTAAAAGATTTGCCAAAAGTGAAACGGCAAATTTGAAATCTATGTAAATTGAATGGAAAAATTATAGTAAAAATACATTAAATGGAAATATAAGAGAATATATCAATTGATAAAACTAGGCACCCTAAAGAGATAAATTTTAAATAAATCTAAGAGCAAATTAGAATTATTCTTTTTTTTTCCGTTAGAAATACGACATTTGAGGCACATGTTTTCAAAACATTTTAGTTCCCTAATTTTAGTTTTATTAGATTTATTGTTTATATAGTTAATCAAATATTAAAAAAAAATTACTAGTTTATACCCCCTCCGTTTTATTAGATGCAATATAAAACCATGAAATTCTAAGAAGATTAGATCTCGATTCCATTTTACCAAATTCAGAAAATAAAACCTCAGATCCGGATTTGCTATAGCTATAGCATCTGCCGATAAGTTGGCCGATCTAGAGATGAAATTGAAAGAGATTGCTGCAAATGAATTCACCAGGAAGAGGATATCGTGGAAAACTCCAAACATCTCGGTGATTTGCTCTCTTGAATTAATTACTCTAATGAGCGTTGAGGAGTCCGAATTGAGGCGTAGGTGCATCCAGTTTTTTTTATCTTGCCTGGATCAGAGCTTCTCTGATGGCTATCCCTTCTGCAACGATCAATGAGGTTACTAGGTTTTCCGCTTTTCCTCCTTGATTTACCACTATCTTACTTTGATCCTCTGCTATCCATCCTAATCCCGAGATTTTCGACTCTTTTGACCAGGCCGCGTCTGAGAAAATCGTGATGAGGTTGGGGTGATCGGACGAGGTTGGGGCTTGTGGAAGCATTGTCTTCTTACTCGCTTTCTCCGGTTGTGCTGCTTTCCATTCCCGCGCATCTGCAATTGCTTTAGTGATAGCGTCGAACCTCTCACAGGTTCTATTCTCAAAGATTCTGCGGTTTCTAGCTCCCCAAATTGCCCAGCAAATCCAGGGGAACAACGAACCCGCTTCTACGCCAATTGGAGGGAGGACTTTCCATTTGAAGGAAGATTTCAGGGCTTCTGCGAAGGTCTGCACCTGATGAGAATCAAGTTGGTCTTTGAACGGAGCCAGACTCCATATCTCTTTAGCAAAAGCACAGTGGAACAGGAGGTGGTCACACGTTTCTGGCTCTCCACAGAACTGGCAGTTCGAAGCTATCGCAAGGCCTCGAGAGCTTAGGCTGGACCCTAGAGCTAGAGCCCCATTGGCCAGTTTCCATAGGAAAACTTGTAGCTTTGGTGATGTTTTCCGTGACCAGATGTTTGCGATCCAGTCAATTGCCGGCTCCATTGACTGTGTGTCTCTTGGTTTGTAGCTGTTCTTGTAGGCAGTATGGTATCCTGTCTTCGTTGTATAGGCTCCCGACTTTGACGGTAGCCAGATGGACTTATATTTGCAGCCCGAGAGACTTGGCCTTATGCTCAAAATCGAGTATGCAAGCTCCAGGAAGACGAGCTTGACCCTTTCAGGGTCCTATTTATTCGAGTTAGGCAAGAACAAGTTTGCCACCATCCAATTTGCTGATAGTTCTGTTGCTGGTCCAGTTGGTCTTTGCCATGTGGTAGTAGACAACCAAGCATCGTACCAGATGCTTGTGTTCCTTCCATCTCCTATGGCCTTGCCTAGATTTTCCAGAAGTATGTTCCTCCCTATCAAGATGCCTTTCCAGCCATGTGATGCTGCTTGGTGGGAACTCACTTCGAGGAAGGATTTATCTTGATAATATTTTCCCATAAGTACTCTAGCTAGAAGGCAGGACGGATTCGAGTAAACTCTCCAGCTGAGTTTGGCCAAGAGAGCATCATTGAAAGCTTGTATGTCTCTAAAACCTAAACCCCCACTTATTTTTTATTTGGTTAGTTTGGACCAAGCTGTCCAACACATTTTTCTATTCCCCTTTGTATCATCCCACCAGAATCTTGTGAGGGCTGATTGAATTCTTTTGCAGATACTTATAGGAAGCTTGAAGCATTGCATAGTGTACGTCAGTATTGCCAAGAGAACTGATTTTAGCATTGTCATTTCGCCAGCACTTGAGAGAAATCTTGAAGACCAGTTCATTGATCTTTGTCTGATCCTGTCAACGATCAGGGCAAAAAGATCTTTCTTTTACTATTCCAAGTATTTGTTTGGCCTGGCTCCTTGAAACTTGGGACGTTTTCGCTGAGAACGTGATGGATGACTTATCCACATTGATCTTTTGTCCTGAAGCTTGTTCATACTCTTGTAGTATTCTCTTTAAGGCCTTACAGTTGTTTGTACTCGACTTGCAGAAAAACATTGTGTCATCGGCGAAGAGAAGATGGTTTACTCTGGGACTATTTGTAGCCACATGAATTCCATGCAAACTTCCTTGTCCCTGAGCTTTTCTGCAAAGACCTGACAACACTTCACCACACAAGATGAAGATGTAGGGAGAAAGCGGGTCACCCTGTCTTATTCCTCTCTGTGGAGTTACTTGTCCATGAGCCGTATTATTATGAGGTATGAGTAGGTGACTGAGGAGACGCATTGGTGAATCCAGTTGATCCATTTTGGGTGGAAACCCATTCTTCTTTGAACAGCGGTAAGGAAATCCCACTCTATTCTATCATACGCTTTACTCATATCTGTTTTTACTGTCATTGAGCATTGTTTCTTTGCACTCGAGATCTTCAGGAAGTGTAGAACTTCATGAGTGATCATAACATTGTCTGAAATTGCTCTTCCAGGGACAAACGCAGATTGGTTCTCAGAGATGATTCCGTTGAGGATGGGTTGAAGTCGTAAGGTTAGAATCTTCGAGATAATTTTGTAGAAAACATTGTAGAGAGTAATTGGCCTGTAGTCTCCAACTGTCATTGGGTTTGACACTTTTGGGATGAGTCTGATGTGTATATGATTAACTGTGCTTGGCAGGATTCCTGAAGCAAACACAATAGACTAGCAGAATATTATATTATTCTACTTCAGAAACTTAAGAACATGTTTTTAGCTAGCAGAGCCTTATATGCATCCTTTAAGATTAATAATATAATATTCTGCTAGTCTATTGTGTTCGTATAAGCATGGGCATTTTTAATCGGATTTGAAGATCCGAACCGAACCCGATCCAAAATAGAAGGAACTGGATTAAACCGGAACCGACACGAATACCCGATAAATCAAAAAAAAAATATCTAGAAAAACAAACTCGAACCAGAACCGAACCAAGAACCGAATGGATACCCGAAATATCCAAAATATATTTATATATCCAACATATTAGTTATATTTAGACTTAAAATAATCAAAAATAACTAAAGTCAGAATTATAAATATAATAGTTATATTTAGAAGAAAATAACCAAAATATTTGAAAAGTCCAAAAACATTTAGTAGAACATGGAGTACAGACAAGTTTTTCGGTTATTTTGCAGGTTTTAGGGTATTTGGTTAAAAACAGATAAAAACTGACCCGAATTAGACCCGAACAAGAATAAAAATTTGCACAATTCTGAACGGGTATAAAATTTATCCCCAAACCGGACACGAACCAAACCAAAACCGAACAAAAAAATTCCTAAACCCGGATGGGTTTAAAATTTAGCAATCCAAAAAGACCTAAACCTGAATAGAACCAATCTGAATCCGACCCGAAATCCAGAATGACCAGACCTAGTTTCGTGGTGATAATTTTAACGTTCAATACTTAAATGCTCGAGAAAGTAAGAAATAAACAAGTTGCAGTACGAACGAATCAGTTTTAAGAATACGATACCATGTCAAATTGCAAGTCTTTTAAGATCAGACATGTCGATGTCGTTTTATACTGATAATATACTAGAAAATTTGGTTATTTAGCAAATAAGTCTCTTAGAAATTTATGAGTTCTAAATTGGGTTATTTAGACCAACATTTTTTGTTTGTTGTAAACATTTAGAGACGGCCATATAGACGCAAAACCAAGTGAATAAAAATTTGGATGAGGGAAATCTGCATGATACTCGTCTTTGCCCTTTTTCATTTCTCCTTCACCATCCAAAAGAAATCTGAATCTAAGACGTGAACTCACTCATAGGGCTTGATTTATATAAGATGATTTTTTTTACAGTTTCCAAAAAATAATTTATGCTGTTTTATTTCTTTGACCGTTTTTTTTTTTTGCATAACGTGGTCTTGAATCTTGATGACTCCTGACTATGGAACATTACTAATCGATTGTTGTGAAAAATCCAAATACTGTGTGTTAACATGCAGTTCCATTCCTTCTGTTTTCACTTTCCATGGCCGTTGTATTAAATTCAGTTTATGTTATTTTCAATTTCAGTAATTCCTATATGTTCAAATTTATTGTCGGTCTACATAATTTTATTTGCTATTCAAAGTAGTATAGTAATAACTTTATTTGTAAATATGTCTTTTACATAATTTTTTAAGAACAGTATTTGTTACATTCCATTTCTTCATATATCACATTTATTAATTTACACATATATATATATATATATATTTTTAACAAACAAAATTTGTATGCATACACCACAGTCCACTATAATCCGATCTTTTCATATTTATATCAGAATTGTTTTTATTAGTTTTATTTTCAGTATCTATTTATATCATCAGTAAGAACATAAGATTTTTTTTGTTTTCCTTTTTTTTTGTAACTGGGTAAGAACATAGGATTCATCGAAAGCCGTTTACTGGTTTATTTCCAGTTATCCATTAAACGACATATGCTACAATTCCTCTGTATTTTCCATTCACTTATTTCCCTTTCATGTTTTTGTTTTCCTCATATTTTCGTTATCTGTTGAACTATTCAAGAGGTACATGTAGTTGGAATTGATCCATAGATAGAAATCTTAAAAGTTACGATATTATTGTGACACAAACAAATTTTATTCAGTAAACTGTATTCTTTATTAGACTTTAAATGTTTATAAAAACATAATTTTGTCATGTCAATTACATCTCAATATCAAAAGACTCAGAGATATAAATAACAAAATCACGAGAAGAGGAACCTAAAAGCTATTGACATTTTAAATAACATTTCGAAAAGCAGCCAGCTTTTGGTATACATTCGATATCACAAATTTTAGCACATTGTTTTTTGTTGCTCCCAAGACTTTCCACAACTGAAAACATCATCAGTTATAAGCATTATTTAAGAAACACAATGCATCTAAAAATATACAATAAAAAAAGTTGTATAGAGAGAGTGGAAGTTTTAGTTACCTCCAGGAAAAGCGCATCGAAGTAGACAATCAGAACAATCAACACTGTCGACTTTGCAAAAAGACTTGCACGTTGTTCGTTTACACTCTTCCACTGACTTTGCATTAACAGTTATCACCAAAAGAGCCATCATCATGATCATCGTTATCTTCATGAAACTCACCATTATTCTTTGCTGTTTAGAAAACTTTTTATTCAACACAATATTATTTGTTGTTTGATGGATTTCTCTTGTGTGTCATGAGTGTTGGTTATTTATAGATTTGTTAAAGGTTATTTATAGAATTAAATAAAAAATGTTTGATTACCTGTTATACCAAAATTCATATTTTAGAACGGTATTAATTTTGAATAGGCATTTTTTTATATATTCCAATATACCTTTTAGTAACAAATCATAAGTTATTAACTCTAATAAATATTGTTGAATCTATTTTGTTTGACTTGCATAATCGTCGGTTATCTTTTAGTAACAAATCATAAGTTATTAACTCTAATAAACATAGTTGGATATATATGTTTGACTTTGCAAAATCGTCTGTTATCTTATATTGGACGTATACTACAAAAAATAAGTTATTAACTCTAATAAATATAGTTGGATATACTTGTTTGACTTGCAAAATCGTCAGTTGTCTTATATTGGACGAATACATTAAAATATGTGTTATTAACTATAATAAGATATATTTGATTGACTTGCAAAATCATCCGTTATCTTATTGGACGTATATATTGAAATATACCAAATTTTGACTCGGTGTACCCAAATTTAGTCGAAATCTAAAAAAGTTTTGATAAGGATTTGATGACTTTTTAATACATAAATGCTATTTAGCAGACATGAGAAATAAGCTTTATACATCTCTATAGGATGATAATATCTCCCAAAACTTCATATGGTTTAGGGGTTTATTGGTTGTATGATTTATAAATCCTCCATTATGACCTTGAGGTTTTCAATGGTTTGGGAGCTATATATCAACATCTAGGCTTATGTTTCTGTTCTTCATATTCTTTACAACAATCTGCATGACACTCGTCTTTGCCCTTTTTCTTTTCTCCTTCACAATTCAAAAGAAACGAAAATGAACTTACTCAAAGCCTCATAGGGTACCGTCATAATCTGAATTATGCTTACTCAAAGCTTAATCTTTCATTTCAATTATATCACGATATCAAAAGATTCAGAGATATAAATAAAATCACGAGAAGAGAAGCCTCAAAACTATTGACATTTTCAAACACATTTTAGGTGGCAGTCTTCTCTGCTACAAAAGGGATGACAACTTTCATGACATATTTCGTCCACTTTGATGCTCCCATGACTTTCAACTGCGAAGATCATAGTTAACATCTCCAACCCAACTTTATTTTTTCCTAAATATACCCTTATTTTCACCATCAAAATAAGGGAACACTATGTTTTTCTCATTTATAATATAACTTTATTTCTCCCCTCATTTTTAAAGTTAATTTCTTTTTTTTTGCATTTATAGTATGCATTAGAAATCTAAAACGACACTTATAATGTAACAAAAAAATAAATCTAAAACGACACTTATTATAAAATAGAGGAAATATGTTTTTGTTTTTCTTCGTATACCGTATTTGGTCATTAATTTACTGAACTTTTAATGAGGTAAATGTACTAGAAAGTGATCTATCAAATTTACAATAATTTTGTGACACAATCAAATTTTTATTTATTAGACTCTAGCATACATTTTTTTTTTTAATTATTATTATTAAAAAAAGATATAGAAGCCATGACCATAGTCATACAGTTTTTTGTAAACAGATTACAAATAGAGAAAAAGAGAGAATCATTTAAAGAACCAGAAACAACGGAATCTTCCGCTTCGATTGACTTTAGGACTAATAGGATACCACTAGCCACTTCCTCCACGCCCACGTCCGCGATTTCCACGTCCGCGAGCCGTTAACTGCCAGTGACTCTAGCATACATGTATACAACATAATCTTTTCATGTCAAATAAAATATCAACATCAAAAGACTCGTTGATATAAATAACTAAATCACAAGAAGAAACAATAAAAACTGTTTCACAAGTCTAGATCTCGACAACGTCCGATACATCTAACAAAGCAGTCTTTGTTCATGCCACAAGTGACATCACAAATTCTTAAACATCTTTCGTCGTTTGTTTTGATGGGCCCTAGACCTATACCTGAAAATCTCATCAGGTATAAGCATTGTTACGAAACACAAATAGATCTAAAATATACAATAAATTAGTTATATATATATATACAGAGAGAGAAGGTAAGAGTTTTGTTACCTCCAGGAAAAGCACATCGAAGTATACAATCAGAACAATCAGCACTCTCGACTTTACAGTCAGACTTGCACGTTGTTTGTCTACACTCTTCAGTTGTCTTTGCAGTCGTCTTTGCATTGACTCTCAACACTAAAAGAGCCATGATCATCATTATCTTCATGAAACTAACCATTTCTCTTTGATTCAGAACAAATTTTGTTTTAGAAAAAAGAAGACGATAATCGATGATTAGTTGTTTGATGGATCCTCTTAAGTGTCACAAGTGTTGTTTCTTTATAGATTTATTTGTGGTTATTATTATTTCTTTAAAAAATTGTTTGACTAGCCATGATACCAAAAAATTATTGTTTTACTACTTTATAAATATTATTATAGATTCGAATAGGAAATGTATTGTTTGAATTTTAATCTCTTATCATAACAAACACACGTTTTTTACTCTCACAATTAGAGTTGAATATATTTGTTTGACTTGCAATATCTTCGGTTACCATATATTGGATGTATACATCAACCTATACCAAATTTGACTCTGTACTAACACAAATTTAGCCGAAATCTTGTACATGCATTTTCTTAAACATTGCTATTGTTTCATGCTTCTTTGGATTACAAATAAATTTAAAAACTAGTTTACAAATGCTACAAGAATAATTCGTCTAAAAATATTACCTACTTAGCCCTTTTAAAATATGAGTCTGCACCATTCTAAATCCTCTCGGAGTTTAGTAATACAAAGACGTTCATGTAACATCAAAACCTCTTAAAACAATCATGTATATTATAAACCCTCCAAAACGTCACTGCAACATCTCCAAGACAAAGATAGCTTGAGAGCCAAGAAAAGCCTTAACGTTCTTCATCACCTTTGTCCAGAGAAGAAGATAAGAAGCTCAAGATGAAACCATCCAAGTCTCCTTCAAGAACAGAGTCAGGATCAGAGACTTCATAGTTTGTTCTCAGATCCTTCACCATTCTGTATGGCTACAAAAACAAAGTAAACCAAAACCATACTCAGCCTAATAAACTCAAAACCACACAAGCAAAAACTTTAAATTTCTGTTAATCACATACATGAAGAACATAAGTTCTTATCTGGTTTCCCCAACTGATCTCAGTTAATGACTGTGTATGTTGCGCGTTCATCGCCGTCTGACGAGCCATCTCCAGTTGGTCTAACCGAGATTGTAGCACCGCCATTGCTGAAGCCTTGTTCATATGCTGCGACCTTCATACCAAAAATCAAGATTGAGCATATAAACCTAAACCTAAACCTAAACCTAAACCTAAACCTAAACCTAAACCGAAACTTTAAAAATCAGACCTTTCGTTTTGACAAGTTGCGGTTATGCCAGTTGGTACATGGATGATCCTCACAGCACTATCAGTTGTGTTAGCATGCTGTCCACCAGCTCCTCCAGAGCGAAACCGCTCTATCCGAAGATCAGAGTCGTTGATCTGCACTCGGGTCGAGCCATCACCAAGAATTGGTATCACCGCAACCGCAGCAAACGAAGTGTGCCTCCGTTTTCCGCTGTCAAATGGAGATATACGCACCAGCCTATGAACTCCAACCTCTGCTTTGGCGTATCCATACGCGTATTCACCATTCACTTTGATCGTCGCTCGCTGTTCAAGAAGATGGATCAAATGTAATCAAGATTTAACCTTTTTTGAGCCAATGGTTATGGAAAGTAAAAATCAAACCTTTATTCCTGCCATCTCTCCAGGCATTTCATCAACAACAGTAACAGAGAATTTGCGTCTTTGAGCCCAAGTTTTGTACATTTCCATTACCATCGAAGCCCAATCGTTGCTCTCTGTTCCTCCAGCTCCAGCTTGAACCTATTCAACAAAAGTTTCAAGCTTTTCTTCAATATGATGAGCTCAAGAGACTGAAAACTCTCATGCAATATCGTCTCTAAGTCACCTCGATATAACAAGAACAAGAGTCATTCTCTGCAGATAGTAAAGCCTCGAGTTCTTTCTCTTTCGAAACCCTTCTCATCTCCATCAATGCCTTCAAAGTTTCCTGCAGCAAGAAGCATATATAGCCATTGTTTTAGCAACAAAATGTGATTTTAGTCTGTGTTACTACTATGAAAGCAAGATTTAGCAACTCTGAAGAACAGTCTGTTTCAAAACTTTTCAGAAACACATGCCTAGATTTGAGAAATGAAGTGTGGAAACTCCCACCGATTCTAGCTCTGAATCGTTCTCTTCTTTCGCGAGCTTTAGCATGTCAATGTGTTCAAGCAATTCTCTCTCAAAAGTCATAACTCCTTTCATTTTGCCCGCAAGCGAACCGTGCTCCCGGCTTATCTTACCAGCATGAGTTGGATCATTCCAAAGATCAGGCTTATTCAGCTCTGCAGATAACACTTTAAGCCTCACCAATAGTTTCTTCCACTGCCCAAAACCACCACAAAAACATGTAAATTCTCAATAGTGTAACAATGTCTTTACTTCCAAGTTCGAACATATATATCTAAGTCTCATTTCCATGAAATGTAACCATGGGAATGGGAAGCTTGTAAAGTTTCAATTTTTATTGGTGCCAAAAACAAAGAGTTTCTTCCACTGTCAAAAACTATAACAAAACATGTAAAACTTTAATAGCGTAACATTGGCTTTACTTCCAAGTTCGAACATATATATCTAAGTCTCATTTCCATGAAATGTAACAACCGGAAGCTTGCAAAGTTTCAATTTTTATTAGTGCCAAAAACCATAACAAAACCTGTAAACTTCTTTAATAGTGTAAACAATATCTTTACTTTGAACATATATTAAAGTCTCAAGTCCATTAAATTGAACAATGTTTGTACTTCGAAGTTCGAATATATATCTAAGTCTCAATTCCATGAAGTGTTACAATGGGAAGCTTGTAAAGTTTCAATTTTTATTAGTGCCAAAAACCATAACAAAAAAGAAGTTTAACAATGTCTTTACTTAAGAACATATATTAAAGTCTCAATTCCATGAAAGTAGCAAAGGGAAGCTTGTAAAGTTTCAATTTTTATTACCTGCAATCGTCTCTTGATGACTTGAATAGACTGTGAAATAGCTGCAGCGTGGCTCTTCCAATCACTCTCGTTCTCATCTAAGATCGGCCACTGATTAGCTATGATTCGTTCCACCGTAAGGCCGTCGCAAGTTGCTGCCACAGCTACAGCCTCCGAGCTCAGTGATCGAGTCGTGGAAACCAAATTGCTCCCGCCAGAATAAGCCAAGTCCCCGAATTTCTGATTCAGATGAGAGAATTTGAATCCAAAAGCTGTGGTTTTGAAGCTTCTTGTTGAAAATGAAGAGAACCCAGAAGCCGAAACTGAATCAGTGGAATCTGATGGATTCGAGAGAGAGTTATAGGAAGAGAAAAGTATACTTCTGATTCTGATTCCATGGGTTTGCCAGAGAAGTAGAGATCTACTTCGAGATCTTTTGATGATAAACGATGACATTTCTGATTTATCGAATTTGATCAGAACAACTTTGATTTCGAATCGCTTCTTGTTGCAGAAAATTGTCAATAGTAGTAGGGTTTGTGGTTTATGACGAGCAAACCGAAATGATGTCGTATCGAATTGTATACCGGACCAAATAGGTAAACCGACATTGAACCGAAATACGTTTATAAACCATATAATTTTATTTTATCGAACCGATTCGAAAATGTAATCAAACCGGTTGCAGTTAAAAAACCGAATTGAAAATGTAATCGAACCGAATTGAAAAAACAAATGAAATTACAAATGCTTGACACTAATCAAGATAACCGAATTAACCGGTTGTAAACCGGCCGGTATACGAGTTTATCGACGGTACAATTAAAATTAAAAGGTTTGAGAATCTTTGAGATTATACCATAACAATGTCTGCTTCTTCTCTTCTTCTCCATCGAAACCTCTTCTCCTTCACCTTCTCATCAGCAAACACAATCCTCACAAAACCCTATTTCGCTACCTCTATCAAATCCATGGAAGAAGCTCAACACAACCTCCCGTCAACAGACTCATCCATTTCGGAATCTGTAATCAATCGGAATTACCCAAAACCCATCACAGCTCCGCCGCCTCCGATCTCGAAAGACATCGAACTCAATAGAGCAACAGAAGCTTCCTCGAAATCGATTCTCTTCAATCTCACAAGAGACCATATACTATACGAAGACGAATGGCTCATGGCCGTAAACAAACCAAAAGGCATATACTGTGAATCTGTTCTCTCCTCTGCTCCTCAAATCATCGTCGGTAAGTAAGATTCCATCTCAAATTTCGATTTTTCTATCTAATTTTGCCACAATTGATCTGAGTTTTTTTTGCTTCCAGATTCTCAATTGAATGAGTTTCATCTCGCGAATAGATTAGATCGTGACACGAGTGGCGTGATGCTCATAACAAAGTCTCATAAAGTCGCTGCGAAGCTCGTTAAGGTGTTCACGGAGCACAAGGTTCGCAAATCCTACATTGCTCTCTGTATCGGTTCGTCGTCGACTCCGAATTGGAGCAGGATCACGGTTAAGTCCGGTCACGGCCGGTCGAAACACGGAGCGTGGCGGGTTTACGGTGCCTCGGACGTTGGTAGAGTCTTGCCAGGAGGATCGTTCGTTAGAGATATGGAGACAACGTTTGAAGTTGTATCCGCAAACGGTGAAAAAACCAAACTTTGCGAAGAAGAAAGAGTGATTGTTGTTGAAGAAGGAGAACAAGAATTGAGTTGTGATGGAGATGGAGAGAAAGATGATGTTGTGGTTGTGGTTAGGGCGTTTCCGAGGAGTGGGAGGACGCATCAGATTAGGTTACATTGTCAGTATCTTGGGATACCGATAAGAGGAGATGTCAAGTATCATGGACTGTATGAGTGGAGAGGAAGAAGATTCGAAGGTCATGAGCTTCATGCTGAGTGTTTGTCTTTGGATCATCCGGTTACGGGTGATTCTATGGTTGTTCGGGCTCCGCTTCCGTGCTGGGCCGCCGCCGGAGATGGGTAAAATGTAACGGTTGTTGGCTAGGATTTGATAGCTTTGGTTGTAACATTGTTTTTCGAACGGAATCTCACTAGATGTAGACTAGCTCTTGTAGATGAAGATTGAGGTGGAAAATGTGAAAGAAGAGAATATGAGGCTAAGGAAGCTTGTAGAGAAAACTCTTCAAGATTATTGTCATCTTGAGATGAAACTCCCGGTTTACTGATCAATTGTTAAGATTTAGAGTTATCACACTTCACAAATAGATCAAGCATCTGAATGCAACATAAAAAAATATGGGTTTTGTGCAAAACAACCCTCAAACTAAATTCATTTTGCAAATCAAACCCTCAATTTAAAGTTGTGCAAATCAAACCTCTGAAGTCAAAATAACCCCGCAATATAAGACATCTCTATATTTGTGACAAATTTAAAATGATTTTATGCAAAACAACCCGCAAACTATTTTTTATGTGCAAATCTAACCCTCAACTTAAAAATATGCAAGTCAAACCTGCAAAATCGAAAGTCACTGCTAAAATGGACTTATATGTATTTGTCCTTAACTACAAACGTTGACTCAAAACGTCATGACATTAATAATATTTTAACCATTTTTATTAAAAGTAAATTAAAAAAAAACAAAAACAAAAAACTTTAATCTTTAATTTCCTTTCTCTTTCTCCTCTTATTAATAAATTTATCTCGAGTAATCTTATCGCGAATAAGTTGATTCTTTTCTTCATGATCTCATTAACTAATGACGACGAAGAGACAAAGATAAGAACTAATTTACTTGCAATAGAATTATTCGAGAGAGGCTCATAAAGACATAGGACTTCAGATCTTCCAAGTAACTATATTGTGAGTAAGTTGGTTCGGTTTTGATTTTCTGGATTGGCTACGGTTTAGTTTTTTTGGATTTGGTTAAAAATCCTAACCCTCTCCTTATTGATGGAAAAAAAGAGAAGAAATATTGAATTATTGTTTTAAGTATTTTTAATAAAAATTGTTAAAATATTATAAATGAGTCAACGTTTGTAGTTATGGACAAATACATATAAGTTCATTTTAGCAGTGACTTTCGACTTTGCAGGTTTGACTTGCATATTTTTTAAGTTGAAGGTTAGATTTGCACACAAAAAATAGTTCGCGAGTTGTTTTGCATAAAATCATTTTAAATTTTGTCACAAATATAGAGATGTCTTATATTGCGGGGTTATTTTGACTTCAGAGGTTTGATTTGCACAACTTTAAATTGAGGGTTTGATTTGCAAAATGAATTTAGTTTGAGGGTTGTTTTGCACAAAACCCAAAAAATATCACAACTTAACCAACAACATAAACATACAAAAAAAATAGTCATGTGGCTTCCAAAAACATGTGAATGGATGGTTGTGGTGTCAGCTATATAAGTTGTGATAATGTAGTTAAAATACATCATTTTGTCTAGGATGTGTGATTATGTAGTGATGTCTTATTGTTAATCATATAGTTGATGTAGTTAAAATAGTAAAATACATTATTTTGTCTAGATGTGTGATTATGTAGTGATGTCTTATTGTTAATCATATAGTTGGTGTAGTTAAAATACAATATTTTGTCTAGGATGTGTGGCCATGTAGTGATGTCTTAAGTTGACAATCATTTTTCCTTAATTTAAACCGATTAATTTCAAACAAATTAACACTACATAAAAAAAAATTGTTTTATAGCCACCATTTCGTCACCCAAATTCGTTAGTGGCGAGGAGAAGTCGACCCACAGTACTACATTAGCCACCGATCAGAAACCAAACTGCAAATGAATAAATGGTGGGCAATTCGGCTGTTAATTGGTGGCTAATCCGCTACTGATATTGACGATAGCCAAACAGTAGCTAAATGGTGACTAATTTTTTTTTTTTTTTTTTTTTTTGGCTCGAAATCGATTTATATTAACCAATAAATCTGTTCCACTGGTTCCTATCCTTCTCCACAAAAGGGAATAACCACGACGGCGTAATTGAATACAACTTAGGGACATAATTCCAGAAAGAAAGAGTCTCCTTCGCTATTCTATCAGCCACAACATTACTTTCTCTAGAGTTAAAAACTACCTTATTACGTTTGAAGCTTGAGGCAGTTATAAGGATGTCTTGACCGAGGGAAGCATAGGCTGGCCACTCCTCAATCTTTGCTAGTACCTCCAGTGAAGCTCTCGAGTCCGTTTCAAAAACGACATTGTCATAGCTCAGTCCTTTGACTCGGAGTACTAATTAGTACCGAAAAAATCGTTTTTCGTATACTAATTAATTTATTATTATGAATACCAAATATCACCGGAAAAATCAGTAGCTATTTAAATACCAAATATATAATATTTTAAAAAAATTATTATGATAATTCATTTGCAATATTTAATCTTTATAAAAAACTATAGATTTGAAGAGGACATAATAAGCATAAAATCGACAGTCCACCAAAGTATGTAAATTTAGAGAAAAGTGCCAATCCACAAAAAAGGATTGCAATCAACCGATTTTGTCTTTTTTTTAGTTTTTGGGTGAGAATTCAAAGTTTCCATAAACCAACATCAATTCTCATAGAAAGACTTGTAGAGGATCTTCAACCTATTAACCAATTCACCTCACAAAGTAACATACGCAATCAGTGATGTCATTACTCTCCATTTAGGGTTGAAGACTTGTAGTGTAAAACAAAAACTTGTAAAGATATTAGCCCAAAACAGAGTATATCATTCCAAAATCTCCTTGCCTTAGAATATCTCGTGAGTGGTGGTGATGCAACAAACACCTCAAAAAAATTTAGAAATTTACATTTTTCTCCAAATCGAGAAAGATTTTGAATTTGTTTTTTTAAAAGAGGAAGAAGATAATAGTCTTCATAAAACCAATTTATGCTTGAACGACACGTTTCAAGAATAAATAATCGTTACACGTAGGTTGACCATTGACCAACAAAAATTAAAATCCTGTTACCACGGGGATTTGGCCACACACGTGTACAACTATATATACAAACAGAGGAAGAAGAAGAAATGTAAAATCTTTTACAGAGTAACTAAAAAAAAAAAATGGAGATTTGGTTTTTGTTACTCATTTTGGTCTCTCTCACAATCTCTTTCCTTCTCCAACTCCTCCTCCTCCGTCACCGCCGTAACTCCTCCTCTCATCCGCTACCTCCGGACCCAAACTTCTTCCCTTTCATCGGAACCCTCCACTGGCTCAAAGACGGCTTAGGCGGTCTCAGCTCATACCTCCGCTCCGTCCACCACCGTCTCGGCCCAATCGTCACCCTCCGCATCACTTCCCGTCCCGCCATCTTCATCGCCGATCGCTCCCTCGCTCACCAAGCTCTCGTCTTAAACGGCGCCGTTTTCGCCGATCGTCCACCCGCCGCTCCGATCAGCAAAATCGTCTCGAGCAACCAACACAACATCAGCTCCGGATCTTACGGAGCCACGTGGCGTCTCCTCCGCCGAAACCTCACCTCCGAGATTCTTCACCCGTCGCGTATGAGATCTTACTCTCACGCTCGTCGCTGGGTTCTCGAGATTCTCTTTGACCGGTTTCGTAACCATGGAAGCGAAACACCGATCGTCCTCGTCGATCATCTCCACTACGCCATGTTCGCGCTTCTCGTTCTCATGTGTTTCGGAGATAAGCTTGATGAGAAACAGATCAAAAAAGTCGAGTTTGTTCAGAGACGTCAGCTTCTTAGCTTCTCCAGATTCAATATCCTCAATCTCTTCCCTAAGCTAACCAAATTGATTTTCCGGAAGCGATGGGAAGAGTTTTTCCAGATGCGGGAAGAGCAACGGAACGTTTTGCTACCGTTGATTCGCGCTCGGAGAAAGATCCTCGAAGAGAGGAAGAAGAAGGAACAAGAAGATAACAACAAAGACTATGTGCAATCATATGTTGATACTCTGCTAGATTTGGAGCTTCCACATGAGAAGAGAAAGCTAAACGAAGACGAAATCGTGAGCTTGTGCTCGGAGTTTCTCAACGGCGGGACGGACACAACCGCGACCGCGCTGCAGTGGATCATGGCGAATCTCGTGAAGAATCAAGAAATCCAAGAGAAGTTACACGAGGAGATCGAAAGAGTTATCGGAGAAGAAGCGAGAGAGATCGAGGAAGAAGAGGCGCACAAGATGCCGTATCTCAAGGCAATTGTTTTAGAAGGTCTCCGGAGGCATCCTCCCGGACATTTCGTCCTCCCGCACAGTGTTACAGAGGACACTGTGCTGGGAGGGTACAAGGTACCGAAGAAAGGTACGGTCAACTTCATGGTGGCGGAGATTGGGAGAGATCCCGCGGTGTGGGATGAACCAATGGCGTTTAAGCCGGAGAGATTCATCGGAGAGGAAGAAGCGGTGGACATAACGGGGAGTAGAGGGATCAAGATGATGCCGTTTGGAGCGGGGAGGAGGATTTGTCCGGGGATTGGTTTGGCAATGATGCATTTGGAGTACTATGTGGCGAATATGGTGAGAGAGTTTGAGTGGAAAGAGGTGCAAGGTTGTGAAGTTGATTTGACGGAGAAGCTTGAGTTCACTGTCGTTATGAAACATCCGCTTAAGGCTCGTGCGGTGCCTAGGAGAAGTTAATTAGAAAAGACTAGTGTTTTGTGTACGTTCTTCTGTTGGTATTGGGAAACAAAAAAGAGAGTTGATGATAATAAATGACGCTATGCGTACTTTGTTTGGTGGAATCAAACTGTGGAACCAGGTTTTTAGTAAAGTACATTGTGTATGTTGGAGTTCACGATATAAATGATTTTTTATAACCTTTTTCTGACATGGAGAAGCATGCATTAAAACGAATCTTTGCATAGTGTTCTTTATGATGGGTCTAGAAAAGTGCGTTTTCAAGTGTACCGTGATAAAATAGCATCCTGATCGGTTAGAAACAATAATAGGTATCTCAGAAATATAAATATTAGTAACTGTTATAAAACTAAAGATTAACTGTACCATATATTGATACAGTGGATATATAGAAGAAGTGGATATATAGAAAAAAAAATTGTTAAGAGAGAGAGTAATTATAGTAAGTGGGAGAGAAGAAGTGACTTTTGTTTACTTATGTTACAACCTAAACTGCATGGAAACGGAAACGGAAATGTGGAAGCGAAACATTTCAGAAACGGAAAACGTCTTTTTGAAAAATATAAGAATGAAAACGTTTTGGAAACTTATGCATATATATATTATATATATATAATATAAATTCCAAATTTTATATAAAAATATTAGAAATTTAAATAGCCAAAATATAATCTCGAAGATAATGAAGAGAGACAATATATTATATTTAGTAAAAAATCTTTACAAAAATGACTTTGGTATAGTGGATAGTGTACTTCTTCTCATTGCTCGTGTCATGGGTTTGAAACTTGTTAGTCTTCTTTTAGTTTATTTTTTTCTTTTTAAAATATGAAGGGTAAAATTGTAATTGTTGATATCATCTTCTTCCTCGCTCATTTTTCTTCTGGAACCCTAATTTGGGGTGGTGGGCAATCTAAAAAAAATTCACAACATTCATCATTTGTTTTGCGAAGCCAACATGTTCGAACTAGATCCCGTGAATCCAAAGTTCTTAGGCTTAAATCAACTACTTTTTGTTTTCGTTTCCAAAAAAACTAGAGTTTGACCCGCGCTCTGCATGGGGTGAGATTTTTGAATTTTTTGACATCAGCATGTGTATTTAATTTTTAAAAATGTATTTGTATTTCTACTAAAACAATTTCTATTTAATTATCTCAAATTTGTTTACAGATTTTGTTGGTTTTGGTCTTCGTTTATAATATAGAAATTAAGCATATTAAACCATTTTAAAAAAGGTAAACAAATTAAAATCTGGATTGTAGATTAAATATGATAGAATTAATTGAGATACATAAAACTCAAATGACTACAATATAATAAGATAGTTTGAAGAATAAATAACTGAAAAATATTTTATATATATTTTATATATTTCATAAGATAAATTAAAATTTTATAATATTCAAATTTGTGATATTTTTGTTTTTAATATTTTAACTTTTTAACCGAGTTAAAATATTTCAAGTATTTTAATATTTTGATATAAATATTTTCAGCTTTTTTCACTCTGAACTACTTATAATAAGATAAATTCTATTTGGTTTAATTTTATAATTGTATTAAATAACTATAGGAAATCAAATATATTGATAAATTTGGATGTTTATTAAACTGAACTTTCATGTGTTTTCAATTTTGGTTATTACTTTTATAATAGTCCTATAAAATATCACATATCTTCATTAATTTCAATGTGAGACTTTTATCATATACTTATTATTTTCATAAATTTATTACTTGATATCTGTTTTTAAAAATTCAAATTATAATTTATGTAAAAAAATGAACACTTTTTAAATATATGGTTACTGTGATAATTTATATATTTTATAAAATTTGGTCCAACCAAGAAATGAGAGGAAAATATAGTATTTAAGAAAAATAATTAATTTGAAAAGATATAGAAAGAATGATAATATATTTATGATTAAATGCTGAAATGTGTACAAACCATTGATATAACTATTTTCTAACCAAATTAATACAATGGCATAGGTTGTAAATTGTCTAGTAAACTTTGCCTTAATTAAAAGTTGTCTTGAGAGTGAACCTAGTGATGATACATAAGCAATGACATTCTTGTTGATAACACATGACATAAAGGTTATTTTGATAGTGTTTTCTCTTTTAATATATTAGGGATAAGACTATGTCGTTTCCGTTCCGTTTCTAACACGTTTCCAAATGGGGATTTTCAAGAAACGCGATCCCTCCACGTTTCCTCGCGTTTCTGTCGCGTTTCCGCTTCCGAATATCGAAACGTGAAACGCACCCTCACCGGAGTTTCCGTGCAACGTAGGTTACAACTAGTAACAAATACAAGTATTTATAGTCAGCCAAAAAAAATTAAATAAATCAAGTCGGTAACTTGATGGCGGTAAAAGAAAACTTAGATTGTAAATAAATAATACTCTCTCCGTCAAATTAGTTGTCGCTTTGGTAAAAGAAAACTTAGATTGTAAATAAATAATAAACCCAAAACACATCCGGATACATCCAAAAAATTGCCAAAGATCTGCAAGATCTTCTTTAGTGACATATTCGTCTTTTAAACCATCGTAGATATTATGAAGTAAAAAGATCATGACTTTTGCCTTTTGCTCAGCATATATCTTTTTCGACTTGTCAATGGCATCAAGAAGCCCATTCCTTTTAGATGCATTTTTGCACCTCCTGCCCATATTATATAATTGTTTCGGAAATTTCGAGTTTTGCCAAATTTGACATGATATCTGCATACATCATATCAGTTCAAAAAATTATAATTCAGTTAAATTTAAATTTAAATTCTTGCGTTTTAAAATTTTGAGCATTATAACAGCATGATTTAGCAGAAATTTAGATGACAAGAATGTAAATAGCGAAAAATAAATTATAGAAAATTAAGTATTCGTGAAGGAGGCAAAAGCCTTCTACTCCAAGTGGAGGTTTTCACCATCAACTCTTATATTATCTGATGTGACATAGTCTACCATATGATCATTTGCTCGGAGTAGATACAACATAACATCCCGGCTTAAGAAATGATTATTCGATTGTGGAGGTAAAGCCTATCATAACAACCGGCTCGAAGAAGGCATAGGCTACCATCCCAGCATACCAAATAAACAATAGAATTAAATAGACAGAATATAAATTTTACCGCACCTTACGGTATAAGAGCGGTTCATGCTGATAATATGTTATAAAACTAAAGATTAATTGTACCACTATATATTGATATAGTGGATATATATGTAAGGTGAGATAAAGAAAAATTTATTGCTAAGAGAGAGAGTAACTATAGGAAGATGGAGAGAAGTTTTACCTGGGAGAGCGAAGAAGTGACTTTTGTTCACTTAAACTTATGACTATGAATGGGAAGTGGATAAAAGGCAGACCATTAACAGAGCATACAAAGTGTATCCTCTGCAACATACTCACTCATTCAACAAAAATAGTAAACTGCAATGGGAACACCCATCCTCAAATATTTGTTTTTATTGTTTGTTTTTTCTCCAAGAACCACAAGTGGTACATCGGTTACACTCTAATTTGAGAGTGGTCCAAGTTTATCTGCATATACTGTACATAAGTTTTTTTGAAATAATACATTACATGGTGATTAAATAATATTATACATGTAATCCATTAATTCAATGTGTTTTAATTGAATAATTCAGTTTCTCTTATCCAATATTTAAATAATATATATATATATATATTAAACTAAATATGTTAAAAACAAATTACAAAAAACTAAATAATGTTTTATGATAATAACCATTTTAAATTAATAACTTTATACTAAACTAAAAAATTACATGTTGAAATAAATAAAACATAATATTTTGGATTGTCTATATATATTATTGATAAATTTTAATGTCTAAGCAGTTTTTATATTTATAATTATATTTATTTCGTGTTGTTGCGTTTTTTTTTTGTAACATCTGAAGCTTTATTAAATAGTGAAGGGAACATACAAATATTTAACCAACCATTGAGGTGGGCTTGCATACAACAACAGAATCATAAATACATTTTGAAAGTAAATCTGCTGCCTGATTTTTCTCCCTGTTCACTTGTGCTAAAGAACATAATGGCAGAAGTGAAATCCAATGACGAATATCAATGAGGATATTGCCCAACTCTGTATTCTCTTCCCATTTATTGATCACATTAGTGAGCTGAAGGCTATCTCCTTCAAACCAGACATTCCTCATACCTTTACTCCATATGCGTTGAACCACATAGAGAAAGCCATTTGCTTCAACCTGCAGTGGTGAGTCTACCTGAGGTAATTTTGCCCAACCTGATTCTACATAGAGAAAGTCCTTTGTCATCTCTTATTATCCACTCTACACCTATGCAAGACGCAGACGATCTATATATGCTATCAAAGTTACATTTTAACCAACCTGATGATGGTGGTTCCCAACAACTTGTTGCGTTTATAATTTAAAATTTATAAATAATCTAATTTTATTATTTTAATTATTCAAAATAAAAGTTTAATCTCATATAATTATTGTAAATATGTATAGTGTTTTGGAACGCTTTATATCTGCTTTTCCCATTCAAATATGTATAATGTTTTGGACCGTTTTATAGCCGATTTTCCCATTCAAACATAACTATTGCAAATATGTACTATTTTGGACCATTTTATATCCGATTTTCCTATTTTGGACCGCTTTATGGCTATGAATGGAGGGTGTTAAAACGGTGGTCGGACTGCCTAAACGGAAGTACCACTTATTTTTCCCTATTCAACATATAAATTAATTATGTTATTGTGCTTATTTAAAAATTAATAAAAAAAGAATGAACCACAAGTGGTTCAACCTTATGACCAAAATAGTGGATCCACTAGTAACAGTTCTCACGCTGCAAATTTACAGTAAATCATGCACTTGGCACACAATTCAACATGGAGAATAATTCTTTTTATTATTATATTTTGTTTTAAAATGCACAATTTTTTTTGGAACCCATATCACAATTGTTCTATATAAGAA